GGTATTTCCAGCATCAGGAGTTCGAAGGAGTGAGCGATGGCAGCATTCGATAGAGGTGCGCGGCAGGCTCGCAGGTTTGCCAACGCGCGCCCGCTCCGAGAGGCCCCTGAACATTCAGACAGGCCACGTCCTTATCAGTGAGCTGACGACTGCGTGGGTTTGTGGACCACCATGTGGGCAGCGCATCACGGGCAGTCTGTGAAGCCCACTAACCGACTTCCACGAGTGGGCGGAGTTGCCCGAGACTCAGCTAGCTGGCCTGAGGCGCGCGCTTTGACGGTTCCCGCTCCGGACCTCTCTCGGACGCGTCAGAATCTACCCAGGGGCGCCCGGCGCCGTGTCGGATTAAGGGCCGCAGGCGCTGGTCGAACTGCTCCACGAGCGTTGGCAGTTGTGCAGTTGGCCTGGCGGGCGCATGGAGTCGAGCAGGCTGGGGTCCATCGCCCCGTCGCGCCCATCAAGACCGCCGGGCGGAGCTGGAGTCGCCCGTGGAGCCAGATGTCCCGACGGCGGGCGCGGATGATTTTTTAACGGGGCGTTCTGGGGAGCCAGGTCGGGATCTGCGTCTGTTGTCGCGGCTTACTGCCACTGCCGCGTCCTACAGTCTGTCTGGTCCATCTGGTCCGACATGGCAATCTTTCCAGCGTTGACCCAGCTTGACTACCCCGTGAGGTATCCGTGTCTGCTGCTTGGCAACTACCAGTGGCCTCGAGTGATCAGAGGGTGCGAATCTTTGTCCATAGAGTGACCTCGTACCGAGGCATCTTGGCGGGCTGCGCGCACGCCGCGCCGCGTGCACGGTGCCGCCGCGGGCGAGATGCTGAACTCGTATCGTCGCAGGGCTTTATTGGGCAACGCCAGCTTCCCGTGGATCGGCCGCAGTGCGAACGGTGCGTGTGCGCTGTTTGCATGCGTGCCATAGTCCATTGGGCAGGTGCAAAAATGCGCCCCGGTGACCCAGGTGACCAAGTCTGGCTGCGTGGCCACGGGCAACGGGGCCAAGGGGTTGACGGCGGACACGGCGCGTGGCTTCCACGTGAGGGCCGTCGCTGATAGAGGAAATCGGCCACTCTGTCGGGTGGCTGAGTCAGGCGGATCCAGCCAGAAGCGCAAGAAAGAGGTTCTCTGCGCTCATGCCGAGGCGCTCGAAGCCGCAGGCAATGGCGGTAAAACCAAATTGAAGCTTCGAGCGCTGTGGAGGACACGGCTGTTTCCATCGGCAGCTCACGACCCTGGAGTGAGCGGGGTCGCCGAGACGACGCGCGAGAGGCTCGGGTCTGTAGCGATTGCGTTTAGTTGCTTCTAGACATCGCGCCCCGGGCTCGGCGTGGCTCTGCGTCCAGGCAGGCGGCGCGTACGATCCTGTGCTTGACGCCGCGCTATGTGCAGTAGTCAGGTATGCAGGGGCATTTCGGGGGGCGACCGCATCTTTAGTTGAGCTGCGCCGTGCACGTATGCGCATCGCTCGGCGCCTCTGGGCCTTGCCTCGGCCACTTGATTGTTGCTGGGCCGTGTGGGATGTCGTTCGGCTTCTGCGCGCTCCATCGCGACTGACCTTGGCGCGGGGGTCAACGTGCTTGTGACGCCGCCCATGCAAGTCAAGGGCGTGCTGATCGAATGCGCCGGCGGGTGGCGGATGACGCGGTTTCCCCCCCGCGCGCCAGAGGCCCCCAGTCACCGGCAGGTGTGGTGCAAGGGCCTCCAGCGGAGAAGCCATTCTGGTATTAGTGATCCCGCCCATCGTGGATGCGCGCGTGCGTTGCTGGGCGCAGGCTGCTGGCCCCCTGCGAGGAAGCAGCATGCCAAGTTTCGTGAGACAGCAGCATGTGGGTGTCGCTCATGCAGTAGCGCCGCGTCGGGCCACCCATGTTTTGATTGCACCATTGCCACGCAGTCTCTACAGGACCTCGCCGTAGAGCCCCTTCCTGATGACCTCCTCGAAAGGGGGGCGGGGGTTCACGGCCTCGCCGCTGAGTGGGGTTCGCTTGAGCTCATTTGCGGGCTTCCGTTTTGTCTATCTGACACGCGCCCCTTTGCGCCCTGAACGCCCCGTGCTGCGACGCGGAGCAACTGAAGGGGGCCTTGGGAGAACAGGTCTACGCCAGCGGCTCTGGCCCAGGCAGCGCCGCCCCCAAACTCAGGAGGCGTGGGCGGGCGGTCGTGCAGCTGGGCCCCAGCGGGGTCCCTGCCGCTGGGGCCCTTTGCGAGCGCGTGCTGGGGCAAGGTTTTGTTCCCGCCCGACCTCAGTCTCGCCCCCCGACTCCTGCTGCTTCCTCGTTCGCTCAGTCTGGCGTGCAGTCAGTACCTTTCCCCTTCCGCGGATTTTGAATCGGGATCGCAATTCAGTGCTCAAATCCTTAGACGCCCGCGGGGATGGAAAGGGAGGAGTGGTCATAGTTTGAAGGGCAGGGGTTCCAGCCCTACCCTTCCTCGCGCCTGAAGGCCAGCGCCTCTACAGGGGGCTGCGCGCCTCGGAGGTTGCTGGCAAGGCCCGTGCAGCTGTGGGCTGAGAGCGGTCCACATCGAACGCAGTTTGATCGTCGGCTTCGTAGGTTGAGCCTCTTTTGGGTACAATCTCGAGCGCAGAGATGCAGTTTAAGCATGCTGTTGTTTCGAGCAGATGCCGTCTCCAGTCTTCGTTTGAATCTGGACCCCACGAGCTGGACAGGGAAAAAGCACGTGCTGGGGCGCCCAACGGTGCCCCGTGCCCGGCGTTTCGCTGGCACGTGGGCGGTAAAGGTTGCGCCCTAGTTGAGGTGTCAGTTGTCAAGGAAGGATACTCGTGGGATCTTGGTCGGGCGGGCTATCGGTCGCTGCGCGCTGGTAGTCGGCGTGGGATAGCCGCTCGCGCGGAAAGCCGCCCCAGGCCGAGCTTCCGCCGGGCGCCTGCCCGCCGCGAGCTCGAGGATGCGCCCCATCGTTTTCGGCAGGGGACAACAGAGTTCCTGGGTTATCTCTGGGTCGATTTCCTGGCTGGGTTGGGATCGTCCACGCAGCAGGTGGCGGATGTCTTTGTCGAAACTGGGAAGGCCCACCTCGCTCACCTCACGCGAGCGCTGACCTGCCGCAGCTGTAACATATCTCCCACCTCGTGGTTGACCCAAAAAGGGTAGTCTCAATGGCGCCAGTGGGCGTTGCAGGCCGACCGGCATTCAGAGGTTTCGCGCAAAGCTTCTCTTTGCTAATAGCGTTGCCGCGCAATCCGGCTTCCCTGAAACCGCGGCGGTTGCAGGCTTTTGCCGACGAGGTCCGGGGGCCGCTAGTGCCCCCTCTTTCTGGTTCGATCAGCGGGTCGGCTTCCGCGGGGTCGGGGCCCTCGTCCTTGGGCCGTTTTGCGTCGGGTGCCTGTGGGGGCGGCCTGGGGGTGTTTCGTAATCTGGGCCAGGCCCGAGGTGCATGAGTCGTGATCTGCCAAGAGTGTGCTGGTTTTCTGATCTTGTCCGATGGGCGTTGCCGCGGGTTGAAGGCGACCTGCGTGGGCGCGACCGAAATCCTCCGTCGAGATCGGGACACTCACGCAGGATCACAAGCTTCCCAGGAGTGCCGCCTGCCTTCAGTCGGTCTTTTCTGCGCCGCATGTCTCTCTTGCTGCTGGCCCTGTGTCAAGCGTTGCTGCGCAGTGCGGGTGCGGCGCTGCACCCGCGGGAGGCGCCCCCGCTGAGTTCCCATCTGCTGGCGTCCCAGGCCGCATCTTTTCGGAGCCTGATGAGGGCAGGGGACACTTGTTCAAGGTGGTCGAGGCGCGCCGCGAGCAAGACGATGACCGCTCGCTCGTGGCTGCCATAATTCAGGCGTGGTCAGAGGACTTCAGCTAGCCTGGGCCCCAGCTTTCGTTCTCTTTGCGAGTGGTGGCGCGTTTTCACTGAGCCGCCTCTTCTCCTGGATGTCCTCCATCCTCATCGCGCTACGGTGAGATCCAGATGTATAGGGGGGCGGTGGCATTGTATCTTCGGGATCGCACGCCCCTGCTTCATCTCTTTTGCCACTCTGTGTCTGCGACTGGCCACTTGCCAGTCTCCTTGACTTGAGCGTGGCACTGAACCTGTGGGAGGTGCCTGCTTCGTGGCCGCAACTGCGGCCACCCTCTTTCCAGCGGCGTCGTGGTGACTCAACTGGACACGTGCTGATTTGCTCGCTCTCCTCCCCCCTCTCGCCCCGATTCCTCCCGCCTTGCCTTCTCGCAGGGGGGGAGTGTCGGCGGAAGGGGCGGGGTCTTGGGTTGGAGGGTTGCGGGAGCCCAGAGTTGGAGTCTATTGGGTTGGGGGGTCTCGTGGGCTGCCATGTTTGGGACTGGAGGGGTGTGGACGCCCAGCGACGGAATATCGAGGGGCTCCAGGCCTGAAAGGAAGCGGGCGGAGTTCCTTTGTACTCTCCATCCAGCGGCTAGTTTGGTCATGGGCTGGTGGATTCCCCCCACCAGATGGGCTACATTTTGCTCTCCACCTGTCCTTCCGTCCTGTTGCTGCGGTCCTTTTGCTGCGGGTCACGTCCGCGTGCAACCCAACGCCGGTTGTAGCGACGCGTTTATTTGTTTTCCAGCCCCAGCTAAGGGTTCCAATGTTTTGTTTTTTTGGTTGTGTGGGGTCCAGGAAGTCCCGACCCTTTTCCCGAGGGCTGGTTTTGCATCCTGATGTATTGTTTGACGGTCCTGGGGGCCCAGCGAGGGCCCCCAGAGGCCGAAGACGTTGAACAGCATTGCGTACATGAGTCCACGGATGTTCGGAAGTACGCATTGCGCGAACTTTCGTATCACGAGGCTGGTCTCGCGGACTGGGGGTCCGTTTGCATGTGGTTGGGCATGTACGTTTAAGTCGGGCCTGTCCCTCTACCGGAGGAATATCCCAAATTAGTAAAACATAGTCTGGGGACGATTCTTTGACAATTTTTTGAGAACTGTGGGGGGGCATTTTTTGAGCACTTTTACAATTCGTCGCCCAACATCCCCCCGCAGGGGGACAGGCCCGACCTAGATGTACGTCCGTTGTTGGCTCCTGCTGCAGGCAGGCGCCGGGAACCACATCATACGGGTCACCGACATCGGCACGCCCGTCCAGCAGCTCGTGCTCGACGGGGCCCTCGTCGAGGCGCCCGAGGGCACGCTCGCGTTCACCGGCCCCGCGGGCACCTTCCTGGAGCTGCGGCCGGCCGCGGACGGGTCGTGGCTGCTGCTGGCGGTCGCCGCGGGGCCAACAGAGACCCAGATCCCCAAGGGTATGTTTTATTCCAAGGCGCTCCTGTCCCTTCGATTTCCCCTCGGGGGGCGTGTCTCCGGGCCCGCGGGACCATCAAACACGGATCCAGGACAACGCAGTTACCCCCGGGGACAGCACAACCACCCCCGGGGAAGCGGTCGGAACCTCTTGGGGCCGCCGATGGCACAAGTCATATCGGCGGGCGTCGTGGAATGTTCCTGCCCACGGTCCCTTCTCCCCCTGCTCCCTCACCCCCTGCTCCCTCACCCCCTCCTCCTCTCCCCTCCCTCTCTCGGTCCCCCCGCCCCCCTCCAGGTCACCTCTCTCTCTCTCTCGCTCTCGCTCTCTCTCTCTCGCTCTCTCTCTCTCTCTATCTCTCTCCTCCCTCCCTCTGCCTGGACCGTCCCTCCGTCCGTCCGTCCCTCGTCTCTGCGCTGGCACAGCACGTGGCCGCTCCTCCCCCGCCCCTCCCCGCGCGGCCGCGCGGCGGGCCCGCGGCCTGCCCCACAGGGCGGGCCTCGCCTCGCGCAGGCCCGCCCGCCCGCGAGAGCGCGCGCGCGCGGGGGCGGGGGGCGGAGGCCGGGGCCCGCAGGGAGCCCCTCGGGGGCCCGTCCTGGGCCCCCGCGGGCCCCATCCTCGCGCCCTCCCCCCTCTCGGGTCGCCCCCCCGGGACTGCCCACCGGGGAGGGGGGACGCCGGCCACGCGCATGGGGGGGGCTGGGGGAGGGGGAAGGCGCCCCTCGTCCTCAGAGGGCGTGGGCCCTGCCTATGGATGTGGGGCCGGCGCCTTCTGAGGTGCAGCCTCCTGCTAGAAAGTCTTCCTCCTCCCCTTGTTTGCGCCGCCGAAGAGAGGGTCGCGAACGGCGAACGGATCGAGGGAAAGCTAAAATGGATTGAGGGGCGTGGATTCGCGACGGGTCCCACTACCACACAGCATCGCAGCGCGCTGTCGCCAAATGAGGCCGCATTGGCCTCAATGTGTCGGGGGTTACCTCCGTCGCGCCAGATCCACGGACTCCTAATCGTAAGCCGGGCCTGTCCCTCTACAGGGGGAATATCGAAGAGTGGTAACTTAAATAGTCTGGGCACGGTTTCTCGACCATTGGTTGACTATGTTTGACTGTTTGTTCGATTATGTTTTGAGTTTTTGCCCACAATCCGTCTGTAGGTGGACACGCCCGACCGAACCCAAATCCATGTTGGCGAGCGCCCGTCTTCCGCGCCCTCGTGGTCCAGCTTCTGGTGCGCTTTGCGCGATCCCGTGGGCAGGCGGCCGCGCGGCCCCCGTGGCAGGCCTTCCATTTGCAGGCCTGCGCGCACGCAGGCGCACGCGCGCGCGCGCAGGCACGCACCTTCGGATTCGGTGCGGCGGGTTTTCGCATCGGGTCGACGGGCGTTGACTTTGTCACTGGCGCTCAGCGTCGAGCGCCGCCCGCGACACCGAATCGGTCGATGTTGGACACTCCGACGTTTCGGAGCGATCCCAGCGGTGTCAGAAACCGACGCCAGAGGGTCGACGTGACACGAAGTTCCGTGTGTCCACGAACTGTGCTGCTTGAGTGCAGGGGCGAACGCTGGCGTCCGGTAGTCCAGGAGAAAACGCGGATTGGTGTCGATCAGTGATCAGCGTGGATTCGCATCGATTTGGTATCGATCGGCGTCTGTCAGCGCCGATTCGCAAGAGCCAACAAGATGGTATGGGAAGCTCCCGTGAGTTGCCACAGAACTCAGATGCAGAGCGCATCTGTAGTGCGGTTTGGGGGAAGGTCCGTAGAGTTGGGCGTTGTTATTTTTCCACACCAGGCGTTTTCGCCCGGTTCCAGGCCCTGGGGCCATCAGACCGAACCGGCACGACAGCCGTTGCAGACAGATGGGGTCCAGGGGCCCCGTCTTTTTTGTTGTTTCGCGATGTCGCATGTTGTTTCGGAACGTCGAATCTGGTTGGAGGGAGCGGGAGGGAATGTGTGAGGTGTGCTCAGCGAAAGCCCAGCCTCTCTGGACGGCGCCCTTCACCGCACCGACCACCCATCATCGTCAGCATTCCCTCCACCTCCCTCTTCTCTGAGATCCGACACTGCGACAAAAATACGATCGCGCAGCAAACCCCGACTGGAGCTCTAGAGCCGATCTTTCTGTGGCAATTGTTTGAGCCAGATCGATATGAGATGGCCCCGTGGACCCTAGCCGGGCGAAAACGCCAATTGCAACGCCCAGATCTCGGGGTGCCCCTTCCTGCCCCTCGTTCGCCCTCCCACCCAGTGTCTTCCCGTCCCCCCCGCTCTTGCCCCAGCTTCGGTGGGGCATGCGCTTGCGCAGTCCCTCAGGACGGCACCCCGGTGCCGTCCTACGACCCCGCCGCCACGGCGGAGCCCCCGATCACGTGGAGCTTTGTGCTGCCCACTGGGACGCATTTTCTGCAGGCCCTGAACCTCGGCAAGAGGGGTCAGGACGGCATCATGGGCATCCATCCCTCCCCGCTCTGCCCTCACTCCCTCTGCGTTTTCCCTCTGGGCCTCCCAGGTTGGCGACGCAGACAAACGGGGTCGTTTTCACCGACAGTGGCCGCGTAGGCTCCCCGCGTCAGGCCGCGAGTGTGCGCCGTTGTTCCAGTGTAGCATGCCGCGCTGGCTGCCCGCGTAAGCCGCAGCGTAAGATCGCTGTGTCATCTCGCGAAGGACCTGTTTTTGCTCGTCGCCCAGGTGGGGTCCGAGCAGGTAGGTTCGGAGGATCGCGCCGCATCGCATGTGCATCGGCGATGTAGCTCGATGTGGAGCCTGATTCAATTCACGTCGACGTCGCCGATACATCGCCGACGTCGCCAGTGTGTCGACGACGCAGCGGCGATGTATTGGCGATGTAACGACGATGTGGCGCGATCCTGCGACCCCAGCTACGCCTCCCATATGGGGGCCTCTACTCCCCCTCCAGGGCGTACCCTTCCTACCTTTCTGGCTTCCTCCTTCCCCTCTCGCTCCTCCGCACTCCCATCCTTTTTGATCTGGGGGTTGAGGGCAGCATGGCGCCCCACTCCGCCTGATGCTGGGGCGCAACAGAGCGGCCGCACCGCAGGCCCTCGTCTCGGTCACTGTGACGCCGCACCGTTCGGCCGAGGACGTGCCGTTTCTGGAGCCGTGCCGCCGCTTGCCAGACCCCGAGGCGACACCCGCGGGCCAGACGAGCATCGAGCATCACGCTCCGACGCGCGAGACGGCGCCCGAACGCATCGACATGGCGGCCGAGGGGACCGAACCGCCAGGTCGGCGGCAGACGCTGGGGCGCCTCGGCCGCGCTGCGGGCCGCGAGAGTGCCGTGCCTCCCTGACCTCGGTCTCCGTTGAGGTGGCAGGCAGCGGAGCTGAGCCGGGTGCCCCGCAGAGTCTCCGGCACGTGCGCCGGCCTTCGGGGGCCCGGTGCCCCCCCGGCTTCCCGTCCCCATCCCATTTTTCTCGCCCCCCTTCCCTCCTCCCTCCTCCTCATCACTCATCCCTCCCTCCTCCTCCTCCTCCTCCTCCTCCTCCTGCTCCTCCTCCTCCTCCTCCACACTCCTCCCCTCCTCCTCCTCCCTCTCCCTTCTCCTCCCTCCTCCTCCCTCCCTCCCTCCCTCTCTCCTCTCCTCCTCCTCCTCTCCTCCTCCTCCTCCTCCTCTCCTCTCTCCTCCTCCTCCTCCTCCTCCTCCTCCTCCTCCTCCTCCTCCTCCTCCTCCTCTCCTCCTCTCCTCCTCCTCTCCTCCTCCTCCTCCACCTCCTCCTCGTCCTCCTCCTCCTCCTCCTCCTCCCTCCTCCTCCTCCACCTCCTCCCCCCTCCTCCTCCTCCTTCTCCTCCTCCTCCTCCTCCTCCTCCTCCTTCTCCTCCTTCCCCTCCCCTTCCTTCTCTCCTCCTCCTCCTCCTCCTCCTCCTCCTCCTCCTCCTCCTCCTCCTCCTCCTCCTCCTCCTCCTCCCCTGCCGCGCACTCCTTCCCATCCTCCGCTGCTCCAGTTCCTCCCCCCTGCCCCCCTCGCAGGAGTCGGGGGGGGGTCGGTGTTTCGATGGAAGGGGCAGGGGAGTGTGGTTGTCCGGACCCCCAGCTTCCGTTCTCCCGCTCCGCCTCGCAAGGGAGGGATTCATTGCCCCCCGCTCGCCATCGTCGTCCGTCGTCGTCGTCGTCGTCGTCGTCGTCGTCGTCGTCGTCGTCGTCGTCGTCGTCGTCGTCGTCGTCGTCGTCCGTGGTGGTCGTTGTTGTCGCCGTCGCCTGGGAGCATCCCAAGGCCACCCGAAACCTTTCCGAAAAAGTCACAACATGCCTGCGAAAACCGCTGAACACGTTCAAGAACCTCCCTCGCTACTGCTCGGCGGCGAGCCCAGGGGGGAAGTTAGAGGGGGCAAGTTTTACCAGACAGACGGCGGCGGGGACTTCTCCCTCGTGCCTTCTGAGAGAGGCCGCCTGGGGGCCCGCTGAGCCTCCTGAGAATCCCCGCCCCCTCCACCTTCCCCCCCCCCGAGCTGCTGCTGCTGCTGCTGCTGCTGCTGCTGCTGCTGCTGCTGCTGCTGCTGCTGCTCACTCTCGAGGAGATCTCCCTGGACGGCGTGCCCATCGTCGCCCCGGACGGCGAGGTGGCCTTCACGGGCCCGGGAGGGGCCCTGCTGCAGCTGGCCTCGAGCGGAGGCCAGCCAGGGTCGGGGGAATCGGCATCGCAGCAGCTGCGAAGCAGCATCATCAGCCGCCACCGGCAGATGGCGCCAGGCTTTTGGGCCTCGAGGCTCTCGTAAACCGATCGGGGTGTCCTCGTCGTTTGCGAGTGGTGCTGTCGTGTTTGCATTCCTTGCCCAACAAACGTAGTTGATGCGTGTGCGGAGGACGGAGGGGTCACACGTAGTTGATGCGTGTGGAGGAGGGAGGGGTCCAGCCTTGGATCCGGCTGGGCCGTTTCAGAGCGTCCTGGAACGTTCTTAGATCGCTCCAGAACGCTCTGAGAAGGCCGCGACGCCCGAGGCATCTTCCAGAGCCGCCAGATCTCAGAGATTCTCGATTAATCCTCGATTTTATCCATGTCCTGGCTTCGTCTTAGTCGAAGGGGTCATACCTCGGATCTGGCTGGGGCGCCGAGGTGACCCAGCACGGGTTTCGTCTAGCAGAGCCCAGGTGGAGGAGGGAGCCCGACCGCCATGGGTGGGCGCGGCTTGGAACGGTTGGTCCGTCTCTACCCTTGGAGGAGGTTCCGATGGGCGATGGGCAGATTTTTCCATAACCACTACCAGAGGCAGGAGAGGGAGGAGGAGGAGGAGGAGGAGGAGGAGGAGGAGGAGGAGGAGGAGGAGGAGGAGGAGGAGGATGAGGAGGAGGAGGAGGAGCTGTAAGCCAAGCTGTTGGCCATGAAGGAGAGCCTCTAGGAGGAGGAGGATGAGGAGGAGGAGGAGGAGGAGGAGGAGGAACAGGAGGAGGAGGAGAAGGAGGAGGAGGAGGAGGAGGAGGACGAGGAGAAGGACCTCCCCATCCCCCCTTTTCCCCCGTCCTACCTATGGTAGTGGTTGTGGTGGAGCATTTGCCCATCAGGTCCGGGAGCAGATGACTGGCGGACGCAGACGGGTTCGTCTTCACCGACATTGACGCGTAAGTTGCCCGCGTACGGTCGCGCGTACGCGCCCTCGTTTCCAGCCTGTCGTGCCGCGTTGGCGCGTTCCGCGTAAGCCGCGGCGCAAGGTCGCTAGAGGTCATTGTGCGTAGGATCGGTTTCTCTTCGTCGCTCAGATGTTGGGCGAATTTGCTCCCGTCCCCCCTCTCGGTCGATTTTTTCTGGGATTGTACAGCTCAGACCCCTGGCCGCCTTCAAGCGGCACCAACACCAGCGGGCCATCTTCGGGGTGGAGGTCCACGGTCCACGATGCCTCCCCGAGCTGGGGACTAGAGATGGGTCGAGCGAGGCCGCAGAGCAGGGGGACCAGGAGATGTTTTTGTGTGTTGCTTCTTCTTCGTTTCACCCTCCAGCGCGTAACGGCTGTTACCAGGCCAAACACCTCCCTCAGATGTTCGTTCTGAGGACCTTCTTGGGGCCCACCTGACGCATCTGTTCGACTCAATATCGAGTTTGATTCGACGCCAGTCTGACTCAAGCTCCACTCAGGTTCGACTCAGGTTCGACTCAGGTTCCACTCAAGTTCGACTCTAGTTCGATTCGAGTCGGCGGACGTTCGACGCAGCTTCGACGTACGAGTGGGGCGAGCGGCTCCAGGAAGGACCCGAGAATGAGCATCTACTCTCCCTCCCCTGAGTCACGCTCGCTGGCTGGACAAGCGCGCACACTGCGGCGGCGCCGTCCAGCAGGTTTCAACCCCCCTCCTGTGTGGTCGGGCCCTCGCTTTCCTTCCGCGGCGCCGCTCGTGCCGTCCTCCTGCGCGCCCGTGCTCTTCCTGACCTCGGCCATGTCGCAGCACCCCTCACGCGCTGGTCGGCCCCACGCCGCTTCCACTTCGGCACGCCCCTCACGCGCCTCCCGTCCCCGTGGGGAGAGCGACGGCCCCAGAGAGGGCGTTCGCATGTACCCCGCCGCCCACGCACTTCGGCACACTCCTCGCTCGAGTCGCTGCCACAGAGGGAGCTTTCCCTTCAGCCCCAGCGAGGGCGTTTTCCCACCACCCCCCAGTGTCGGTACGCCTCGCGTGCGGGTCGTAGCCCGATGGAGAGCTCCATCTGCGGCACCCATTGAGGGCAGTCATATGTGCCCTCCCTCAGCTTCGCGCACCCCTCGCGCGGCTTTTGGCCAACACACACTAGCTCCATCCACCCTTTGCGCCACAGCTTCTTTGCCAGGGTGCGTCCATTCGGATGGTTGTCGGGCATGCTTCTGCGGAGAGTTGAACGGACGGGGCCAGGGTGTTGGATACGAGAGGGGAGCGTAAGGACATGGGAACGGGCGTCAACTCGAATTGCGAGGTAACCAACGCCACCCCCCCTGTCTTCCGCATGCATCCCCGCACCCCCAACCATCCCTCTTTGTGGCCATCGTGCTATTGTAACTCAGGAGGAAATGAACACACAGACACAACTGACCGTGGAGCCCCCGGAACATATGCGAACCTGTGGGAAGTGGGGGGGAAGACGGGAATTCAGAAACTAAGGGAAATGCGGGGAATCTTGCTATTTGTGTCTGTTTAGTTGTGTGTCCCAGGGCTTCTGCAGTGCTAGTGTAACGAAGGGTGGACAAGGAGCGAGCGGGGCCCGTCTGGCCACTGCGAGCCTCGGCCGCGAGCATGTGCTCCGACCTCGGCCCATCACGAGCCCCAAAACGCGGTCCTCACTCTCCCGTTGCCCTCACTGCACACAGATCCCCCCCGAAGGAGGCGAACGAGGAGCAGGAGGAGGGAGCAGGAGGAGGAGCAAGAAGAGGAATCTGCCCTCGTGGCTCTCTCACCCCCCGCCTGCCCCCTCGCCTCGTCTTGCGCACTCGAGCCGTGGCTCGGGGCTCCTTTCGAGGCACAAGCCCTGACCCTGCCTGTGAGCAGGGAACGAACCGTCCTGGCGTTCCGATGGGCCTGCCACGACATGTCCGTAGAACACAGGGCCTGGCTTGCTGGCCCGCCTCGCGCGCCCGCCCGTGCACTCGCCGGTGTGTTTCGTTTCGGCTGTGGTCGTGCCGGCACCTGCCGCCGCCAGCCCTGGAGGTGTGCCCGGGGCGGTCCCAGCTCTGGCGCAACAGTGCCGAGCACACCGTTGCGATCGCAACATCTCGAGTACGAGATGTCCGGAATTCTCTTGGAGTGCATGTTTCGTTTCGGCTGTGGTCGTACCGGCACCTGCCGTCGCCAGCCCTGGAGGTGTGCCTGGGGCGGTCCCAGCTCTGGCGCAGCAGTGCCGAGCACACCGTTTCGATCGCAGCGTCTCGAGTACGAGATATCTCGGAATTCTCTTGGAGTCGGGCGGCTTCGGTCGATCGTCTTTTTTCACGGATCATCGAGGCTTCGGACTCGTTCCTTCCGGTGCGTGTGCGTATGTGTGTTTGTGTGCATGTTGTTTCTTTCAGTGACTCATTGTCCTCCTCGCCCCGTCCCCCTCCCTTCCCCGTCTGTCCTTTCACAAACATATCGTCACTTGGTCCTTTCAGGCTACAGATAATCGCATGAGCTTTCCTATGGCACGTGGGCCCGTGTAGCGATCCTAGTTTACATGGCGATAATATGCTTCAAGCTACTGTGCCAGTCACTTCGTGTGAAGATTCAGCGGCCGCACGTTTCCCATCCTCACTTCTCCCGGAACAGCAGTTCATAGAACATGCCAGTCTAAGAACATACAAGTAGCCTGGGAACAAGTCCGACTGTTCTGAGAGCGTTTCGTGCAAACCAGAAGGTTATCAGAACATTCTTTGGTGGGCCTAAAGTCAAGCCAGGACGCCGCGGCATTCTTTGACACCTGAGTAGTTCACTCCTTTCGTGTGCTTGGCCAGCCCAGCCCTCTTCGGCATCACCAACACCATCGCGAGGAACTGCAGAGGCCCCTCTGGTGGTATGGAGATTGCCCTTATTCCGAAACGAGAGAGGGGGCGTGTAGTGGGTAACGCTCGGGCGAGGTGGGGTTTGCCGGCATTGGGGTGCGCTGCGACCGCCATAATACGCGCGCGAGTTCAATTATGTGTGGAGGGGTGGGTGGGTGCATGCCTGTCTTCTTGCGGTGGCGTCCCCTTCTTCCTCCCGTGCTGAGCCTGGGCGCCTCGCTGCGGCTGTGCCCCCCCTCCTTTCTCCAGTTGATGGGCCGTCATCGTGTGGGTTTTGTTGTTGTTGTTTTGTGCTTTTGTGTCTCGTCCTCTTCCTGTGCCTCCTCCTCTTCCTCTTGTCTTCGTCCTCCTTTTCCTGTCCCTCCTCCTACTCCTCCTCTTTCCTCCTCCTCCTCTTCCTCCTCCTCTTCCTCCTCCTTGCCCTTCTTCCCCCTCGCGCTCGCTCTCCCTCTGCCCCCTGCCTGCGCTCCTCCCGCCTGCTTCCTCCCCGCCTGCCTCGGCGCCCGTCCCAGGACTCCCGCCCTGCACGGTCGTCGTCGTGCTCGTCGTCCGCGCCGTCGCCGTCGCCGCCGCCGCCGCCGCCGCCTCGTCGTCGTCGTCGTCGTCGTCGTCGTCGTCGTCGCCGTCTGCTTTTGCATCTCCGTCTGCTCTCTCCCTCTCTTTCTCTCTTCTTTCTCTCTCGCTCTGCCTCCGAGCAGCACGGGCTGCCTGGCATGCGCTCTCTGAGACAGCCTCTCGGGCGTTGCGTAACGGAGGGGCGCTTCATGGTGTGTGTTTGCGTGTCGAGGGTTGCAGGAAACAGGTCCGAAATGGACCCCCTGGGGCCCCAGCAGTGGGCAAAATTCACACCTTTTTTCAACCGCCTGTTTCATTCATGCTCACCGGAATCAGCAACGCCCGCAGCTCGCGGGAACTTTCCTCCACTGGATGTTTTCGGGCATCTGGGCTCCCCCTTCCTCCCTCACTCCCTTCCCTTGCCGCCTGCCTCGTCCTCGTCGTCTCTCGCCCGCCGAGAGGCGACTGCTGGACGCTGTTTGTGGACGGCGTCGAGGTGCAGTCCAGCACCGCGGGCCTCGCCTCCAGATGTGCGGACGGCCTTCGGGGGACGCCAAATTCATTTACTATCCCCAGGTCTCCGACGAGATGCTTTTTTTCCGCTCTGAGTTTGCTTTCTCGATTTCGGTCACCGAGTCCTCGAGGGCTGGAGCGAACAACTCGCCGTCGGCCCATCGATTGCCATGCATCCCGGTTCGTGAGTCGCTGCGAATGTGCCAACACGTGCATCCAATGGCTGTGCATCCGAACCTCCTCGCAGCCTGCACTATGAAGATTTCGGCCCACGTGCGCCTGTCCTGGCCGGGCCAGTCCTGTCACCCAGGGTCGGAGCACACGCCCATGCAAGACGAGGATGTACCGACCAGTTCGGGCTTCGAAAGGGCTCGCCGTTCTTCAGGTCCTTCCGCGGCTGCCCCTCCAGCACTCTTCGTGCACCCAGGTGTTCTTGGGCGCCAGAATCAAGGAAGGAAAGCCCCCCCACACACCACCCCTCCAATGGGCGTTTGCCACAGGGCCTGGGCGTTTGCTGAACAGCCCTGCCCTGTTCGGTTCCTTTCTTGGGTGCGTCTACTAGGCGGCTTCGGCTGTCGGGGTGCCTATTAGGGGGGGTGGATCTTCCTCTCGTCACTCCGCCCCTCATTCCGAGCCCACTGTGGTAGACTCTTGACTGTACATCTGTCCTGGCCTTGCCAGGTGCGCGTGCTCCCGCACGGATCCCGGGCTCAGGATCGGCCCAGCCAGCCGTCGGCGTGGGCGGATATTTGGGCGCCCTCCAAGGCGTGTATACATTCTCCTGCCAGGGAAGAGCGCACCGGCTCCAGGCCCTGAGGGACAGGAGGGAGAGGACGATGGATCAGGAGGATGGCGACGAAGACGACGACGACGATAATGGTGGTGGTGGTGCTGATGGTGATGATGCTCGTTGTGGTGGTGATGGTGAGGATTGCGATGGCGATGATGATGATGATGATGCTGATGCTGATGATGCTGATGCTGATGCTGATGCTGATTATGTGAGGACGAGGGTGATGGTGAGGATGATGAGGATGATGACGACACTCATGCTGAATATGGTGATGACGTTGACTCTGCTGCTGACGCTGCTGCTGCATCTGTTGCTGCTGTTGTCGACGAGGATGATGATGGTGCTAATGCTGGTGCGGATTATGATGGTCACGACGACGACGATGATGAGATGCCGATGAAGATGATGCTGATGATGATACTGATGATGCTGATGCTGCTGCTGATGATGATGATGGTGATGATGATGCTGATGATGAGGATGGTCACGACTACGACGAATATGATGATGTTGATGATGAGGATGATTGATTCACTATTGATGATGACGGTGCTGACGATGACGATGTTGATGATGCCGATGATGATGTTGATGTGGATGCTGAAGATGCTGATGATGTTGATGACGGTGCTAATGATGACGAAGATAATCACGCTATTGATAATGACGATGTTGCTGAATATGTTGATGATGCTTATGATGATGGTGATGGACATGATGATGACGATGAGGCTGTTGCTGATGCTGATGATGTTGTTGATGATGATGCTGATGCTGATAATACTGATGATGACGATGCTGATGGCGATGCTGCTGCTACTGCGGCTGATGAGATGGTGATGGTGACACGATGCTGATGATCAT